AAAAAAAAGGAGTCTCTCTTCCTCTTTTTCTCTTGCTTCAGTAACCCACTTTTAAGTAGAAAGAACAAGAGTCCCAAGCTTCTCACACGTAGTAGAGCTTCTTCCGCTGATGGCATCATAGCTGTGATTTTCCCCTATCAGGCTCGCTAGCTACTTATACGTTAGTGGTTTAATAGATTTCAGTAGCTTTCCCTTTGGTATACTTGGATCGTCATGTTTCAAGTATCAAATCAAAAACACAGAAAAGACTTAACCTCGTTGACTGGGGACCCCAATTGATCTAAGGGTTGAATCAACTTTTATGTATAGTCGATCGTTTATTCTCTTCCCCTAGCTAGGATATAAATGTCGTCTAGATAAGAAAACCTAGTGTTCTTGAAAAAATCGTCAGTACCACCTTTAGATCAAATACGAGTTATCTGTATTGGTAAACTATTCCTTGATGCAAGAAAGTCAAAAAGCCTCTATGAATAGGTAAATCATATACGCATCTTTTAGGTTGGTCTTTTGCATATATAGTCGTCTTTCTAAATGGTTTCTCCAAGAACAGGAACATCTTCAATTTCGAAACGGGTATTGAATGCAGTCGTTCCAACGCCAAAGGGCAGTTTTTAATGTGTTATATCGGGATCAGAATTTACCCAACGACTTCAAACTTCTAAGGGCTACTTTTTTAGTACTGAATTAAAGGGGAAAAAGACTCTCTTTTTATTATCAGAAGAAAACAAAATAATTTATATAAAAGAGTGTAGTATCACCTAGGACAGGTGGCACTATACTAGATTCATTTAGATATAGGATACAAGAATAAAAAGCGAATTATCTAGGCCTGAGTACTAGTAACACCACTTTATTCGTCATACTACATACACCCCCTTCATCACAAATGTCAAAGGGTTTTCATTTAGCTTTTTGCTTTTTTTTCAACTGGTCCAAAACAATGCTTAGCTGATCTGCCGAGAGGAAACTTGTTGCATTTTCTATTGCAAAAAGTATACAGAAGAAAACGCCAAAATTTATACTGAAAGAGTAGTTAAGCTAGAAGCTGTCGATATATGTTTCACCTATGATCAAAATGAACTAAAACTAATATGCGAATCGCGGATTTATGACGCGCCAAATCTATATAAGTTATATAAATCAAGGGATGATTGATTTAAAGAAACAAATCAACAAACTTTTCCCGAGTAAGACGTGATCTTGGTTATTATCAGTCTTTTCTTTATTATTTCGAACTTGTATTATAAATAGAAAGTTTATCAAATTTCGATCGAACCTGTTTCAACTGATACAAGCAGGGCATCGCACTTACTTCTTCAATGTTATTCTTCTTGAAAAGATCATGTGCCCTTTGAACTGATTGTTTATCCAAGAATATACGAGTTCTTGATGATGGTTCAAAAAGCGTGGCATGAGCTCCTAAATTAACAGATTCATGGTCAAGACGTTGGCTCGAGACGATCAGAAGATCGCAAGCCCTACTTGCTATATGAAGTTTAATACATTTTCTGCTGAAGGACGTTGGATTACTTGAACATAGCCGTAATTACCTTCTTTTGTTGGAAATGTTGATAGCTCGGGTGTGAACCGGCACCCATGATGCGTGTCTGCTAAAATATAGTGCCCATAGGGCTCTATCGTGTTTATTGCAATAAATCCAGATCTGTCTCCCACAATCGTACCTACCAACAACTGCGGTACCGCAAATCGCATTTGTGTAAAGAGAAGCCAATCCTTGTTAAGTAACAAACTATGTTCTAAATCAAATTCTGTAAATTTCTCTACAGAAAAATGTTTCCTTGCCTTTCTAATAACCAAATAAAAAAACAATCAGCCAGCATCACAAGCACAACAGTACACAAATAACAAAAAGACTTACGATTTGAAAAAAAGTGACCTTGGAAGAGGAGGACTGTTCATTCGCGCAGAGTTAAGGCTTAGTTCAGATGGATTTGCACGTGCGCGCCACGTTTCCGAAGCTTTATCTTCCATTACTGCTTTCACGGTCGTAGACGAGGATAAGGAATGATATTAACGGTCATGTACGGATAGTGTTATTGGTTCCCAGTGCCCCAACTTCGCGATAGTCAATTTATCTTGCTTTGTCTCCTCAGTATCTACTAAGGCATCACATGTTGCCAAAGTAGTTGAATTATAGTCTAATTCGTTCTTTTTCTTATCTGATATTTTTGAATCGTCAAAGTTGTGAAGGTTGCTGTCAGGTTCGTCATCTTCAGAAATGGAGTGGGTGTGGGGTAAGGAGAGACACCCACAGCTGGATGGCCGATGACCCACTCGCCTGTCCTTACCTTGGTCTTTTAAAAGCCTCCTACTTCCATGGCCATACCCCTCCGACTTGGACAGCCTTGTCTTTCTTGAATATCTTTCTCATCATGTAGTTCTACACATCTTCCCTGTGGCCAGTCACCCATTCTGCCTTCCCTTGGCCCCCTATACTACTCCTTCATCTACTAGCCGCGGTATAGCCCAGCGAACGTGCAAGCCTCTGAGGGTAGTAGAGGGTCTCCGGAATGCAAGTTGGAGTGCAAGCTGGAGTTTTATCTAGAATCAAATATAACAACTGCTGCCGTTTGTAATATTTATACCAATAACATTATGAAAAAAGTTAATAAAAAACAAATAATTGAAAATGAAGACAAAATAAAATGTTCAGACCAGCTGATAGATTAAAACTGCATGTCGTGTCTAATACAATCATAGCTGGCCCCACTTCGGCTTCTAATGTGATATATGCTCTCTGAGCCACGCTTTATTTTTCATATATATAAATATAAAACAAATAAAAAACTTCTTTTCTTCATATCTTTCTTAGCCGAGCATCGTAGGTTCACTATATGACTGATATACTAAATGTTACACCTGAACAAGAGGAAGCAAGGCTCTACACACAAAGAGAGTTACTTCAGCTCTTCCAACAATGGCAGAAGGGCTCTAAGAACGAACAACGACGAGATTATGAGGAAACCGAATTACCTAACTATATCGAGGAATTCTGGAAGAATCACCACTCCGCCAACTTAAAGAGGACCTTAAAAGATACAAAAAAATATCCATAAATACCATCATGAAGAATGGGTAACAGGATAAAGCATCAACAAATCCCTTTATCTAAAAATACAAACGACATAACGTGGATATGTACCAAGTTCTCAACACTAATCATCGGATTGCAGATAACACAAAGTCTCTCCAGGAACTTCCTCTGGGGCTAAACCAAAATCTCTGAAGGGAATAAGATGGAAAGAGTGTTTCTTTAGTTAAGCTTATATAAAGCCTGAGGCTCCCTCTCTCTATATTGCTCGACCTACAGGATGGACAGATGGTTCTAAGTTAAATATTCTGTATGCACCATCAATAGTATTTGCTAGTTTACTACCTGTGCTCGTTGAAATTCAATACAATATCAATCAAGGTTTCATTGGCCGTCTGCTCAGTTACGCATCAAATGTAAAAAAAAAGTTTAAAATCAAGCTAGTGGTTCTTGTATTTAGCGTTGGAAAAACCTGTAATTATATTACATCAGACTTCGGAACAACGTAGCATTCCTTTGTAAAACAACTCCAGTGTAAGTAGTAGATCGAACGTTGTTTTATTATTGATCGCGATACGATCGCAGATGGCAGTAAACGACCTCCACTTCATCCATTGTTGGCCATTGGGGGTTTTTTTTGTAGTCAAAAATTATCACTGATATCCATGGAGCACAAAGACAATATAACAATACAAACGCTATATAAAATCGCCAAACAACAGATGAAAAAAGAAATCGTAGAAAAACACATTGCATCAACATTACTAGACGTTTGTAATTAGACAAACTTACAGTTCCAGAAATTGATAAAAGTGGTAAAAGCTATGCCAGACAGTCTTCTCAAAAAACATGCGTTAGCCTATGCAGACGATGGGGCTTTGTATACAAGTACTTGTAAACAAAAATATTTGAAGAAAGACTCCCCATGTGTGTCACAGATGCCAGCACCTCTGGAATCACCTGATGCAGCATTACGACTAATCAATGAAGCCGAGATCAACCACAACAGCACCGATGATATTTTACCTGAAATTAAATATCCCGAAAATCGACATGGACTATGTTCTTCAATTCAAACAATCGATGGAAATAATGAATTGGAAAGAGGGATGGATATTTTGGAACTTGTACTAGCTTTATCATTTACTATTCGATTTTTTAACAGACTGTGTCCTCTAGTGAATTTTATGCAGAAAAAAGCAAGACAACAACAGAAAAGATCATGTACAGACATTTCGTTGTATTGTAAATAGAAAAAGGACAACTAGGATAAGGGTAAATAGTACGTTTAAAGTCTAGTATTGCTTTTACATTATGTCAATTTTGTGCCTTATACATAAGCATAACTTAACCAAAAAAAAAATGTGTATAGCTTATACAAGAGCAATAGCCGCGTAACCATAGTAACTAACGAATATAACTTACAGTAGAATACATTCTGATATTCAATAATAAATAATAACTTAGCTTTACTGTATTTTT